GTAGAAATGAAGAGCACACAACGCAAGATAAGTGAATAAAAAAAAATAAAAAAAAACCTGGGGTAAAATGTAACAATAATGTTTAAAACTTTTTAAATGATTTTGACCAGAAATAGTTCTTCTGTGTTTGCATGAGCCACCATCTCAGGCCTCATCTGGCAACCGTTTATGCTTGAAATGTCACGCCAAAACCAAATTCTGCTCCATGATTCTGTCAAAGTTTGGCAACACCAAGAAAAAAGCTGACCTCACATGTGAAGAGTGGAAAAACATAAACATGCACCAAGGAGAGTGAAGTAAAATATGGACGTCAAGGTGCCTTCATCTGCTCTTCTAAGCGTAATAAGATCACACTACAGCAGACAGGGGGCCTGAACAAACAAATCTAAACATTACATAAGAGCGATTCTTACACTTTCAGGTATACGCAGATGTATGCACGACAGAAATAGAACAAAGCAAGTCAAAAGCTGACATATACAAATCTATAGGTAAAGGTTAGGAGTTAAAGCATTCATCTGCTGGAGAGATATATTAATTCAACTCCCTCTTCTTAATCCAATTACATTGATAGGTCTTGAAGTAGCAGCAGTGTTGAATAGGTTTTATACAACATTTTTTTTAGACGCTCAAAGACATTTCACATGGCATTATTCATTAACAACTATTGTTACGATGATGAGCTACTACTCTAGCCGCAGCTGCCCTGGGGCAGACTGACAGAAGCAAGGCAACCAGTATGTGCCATCGGCCATTTGGACCATCAGCAACCATTCACTCAATCATCAGACTCATACTAAGCAATGTAAGTGCAGTGTCTTGCCTAAGAACACAACAACATTTTGGCACTTTGTAGTGTATATAAACTGTATAAACTGTGCCATACAAATAATCTTGCCTTGCCTTGCCAAACATATGTGAGTACATGAGAAGGGGAAACGATTATAACATGGTTAGAACTATGAGAATGGTTTCCCCTTTAAACATGAAGTAAAAGTGGCCCCCGTTACATTAACTGCCTTAACAGTGTTGTTCTGTGCTGTTCTTAGACTTAAAGACTTCTAAATTTTCCCCTGACTGTATTTGGTAGAAGTGACACAACCAAAAAAAGCACAAAATACTTTCACAAATGCTTCTGTTACTTCTGCAAATTACATGTTCTGTCCTGCTTTAAAAGTGCATAAACCCCAGACTTCTCTCAACAAACACCAGTGGGATCCAGCCTTCATTTGCCCAGAATCCAAGTGCGGTTAACCAAGACCTTCTAAACTCCTCTCCATCTCTCGTCATCATGAGTTGCTGGCAGCGTGTTTTGGGGGAAAGGGCATTTGGCCGACCCTCTGTAAATATGTGTCCCTGGTGACGTGCCGTAACAATGCATGGAGCCCGATGGGGAAGAATTTAGAGGAAAAGTTTGGACGTGCCTACATTGTGTTTAAGATCCTGGCATTGTGGCAGGGCTGGTGTTTGCGCTACCCACTGCACTCGCTGAATGTACACTGCTATTGTCCAAAGCCCAATCCAACTCCCCGATGCGGTTTGAGCCTTGGGCGAATACATAAGAACGTTTAGAAATAATGGCTTGTGGCGGCGATGAGGCTGAACGTTTTGAATAACACACCGGACTTCTCTGGAGTTGAAGGGAGCAGGCTTCCTATTGCTGCCCCTACCACCGACAATCACAAGAAGATATTGGAGATTAAGTTTCAAATCTGTAAGCTTCCATTGTGAAATCAAAATTTGTCAACAGATACAAGGGTAAAATAATCCATAATAATTCATATGTTGCACTTTGTAACTCAGAATTCAAATCAGAATTAGAATATTTTTTATTGCCACTGTAAGTAACAGGAAGTCATAAACTAGGAATTGGCTTTGGCTCATGGTGCAAACAAGTATAAGATGTTTTAATGCATTAGGGCCAGGACTTTAACGCGTTAATTAAGATGAATTAATTACACAAAAATTAGAGCGTTAGCATTTTTTTACGCATGTCATCATTTTTGCACCGCGGAACGTTTCTCACTGGATGAGTTACAGACGGACCGATTGTACTGGAGCACTGCACGACTTCCGGGCTTGTTCTCAGCAAATCTAACCTGTCTCCGAACCTCAAAAGGACAGAGGTGACTCAGAGAAACACTGTTCCCACTGCTGTCTCTGTGCAAAAAAGTGTCTAAAGTTTGTGTTGGGTGCGGTGCTACACTCGCACGCTGCCTTGCAGCTACACTTGCTTCGCTATGATTTCCGAACTGGTTCGTGGTACAGTGAACATGAACAAAGAAGTAGATGTGAATGCGTTGTTTGGTTTCTAAATATGGTATTGCTACACTTAAAGTGATAGTCTTTAACTCTAAATGAATTACAAATTTTAGGAAATGTGTTAAATAGACCTCCTGGCCTTCAATGTTGATATAAAATAAGTCATTTTATTAATTCTAATATTACAGGTCCCGCCTTCCCTTCTCTTAGCTATAGCTCAGAATCCACGGTGCCGTCGAGATTAACCAATCGAGTCATGCCAAGGGCTGTCAATCATCGGCGCTGATGCTCGCAGCTGCGCGAATGCTCAGTTGTTTGTTTTCGCGGAGCCTCCAAATCAAGCCTCTATTAGGCTCTGGAACACCATGAAAACTGAACAAAGAATTCTGAACATCCGCGCGGAGGTACTTATGTATATACTGAACCTGTATCCATAATCAGATCCTCTGCAGATGTGTCCTATAATGTGCAGTTCATGATAATAGCTTGTTCCGGGTTTGCCGTATGTTCCGGGTTTGTGCATAAAAACATTATATTTTTCATTAAAACGTTAACAAATAATTCTGAAAACCTCCGTGCATGTGTATTAATAATGTATATGTATAATGTGTTCTCTGATTAACATTTAAAAGTGTTGCGGAAACGTAGGTGTAGACCAATCATAAAGGAAGGGGGAGGGAGCTTGCGTCGTTTTTTTAAAATCAAGTACCTCTCAGTCTCTCTTTCACTTTAATGACAAAAATTGCATTGGTCTGTTGGACTTGAACAAAAAAAACAATGTTTTTGTTGCTTGAGCTTATTATTCAATGTTATACTAATCATTTCACTGTTCTCAGGTGAAATATTTATATGCAATTAAAATGCAATTAATTAATTACAAAGCCTCTAAATATATATTTTTTTAACATAGCCCCAATTTTTTTTATATAACTTTAAGAGTAGAATTTAAATTAAGAGATCCTTTATTCGTCCCACCGTTGGGAAATTTCCGTGTTGCCTCACAAGTGATAGAACAGTAGGAAAGAGGAGCACACAGCACAAGATAAGTGAACAATAGCTATATTAATTAAAATAAAACAAAATCTCTCACTCTAGCATCAAATAACAAGTTAACTTGTTTAACTCACTGTATTTGGTGAATGGCTTGGTGGATGTGGATGGCTTAACACATCCACTAACAATAAGCAAGTTTAATTTTTTCATTAATAATCTAAAAAAAAAATGCCCCAAAATAGTAAAAACCTTTTCAAGAGCAACTGTATGGAGATACACAAGTCAAGAAATAGTAAGACCTGTAGAAACGCAAGCTCGCTCCCAATAGATTGCGCAATGAATATTTATCCACTCAATCACCCAAAGTGACACAAGTGGGTGTCTTTCTCAAGGACACAAAATAATCATATATTTAATCGAATCTATTGAGTGCTTGGGTGTCAAGGCTTATTATTCACCATTCAGATTCCTCTACATGGGGCTCAAAAGGAGTAAGCAAAAGCATTAAAATGCATTTAAGGGCCTACCCCACCGGTGTCAGACTGTACAATAAGTTACTTTACTGACCTGTACATGGACTAAAAAACTTGCTCTGCTATAGTCACTTTTAATTTTATTCTACATAATATATCTTGCACAAAAGAGACTGTCTTTTAACCTTTTAACACATCCTGTCTTTTCCTGTCACTTCCAGTCTTTTTGCACAACCTGAGTGATGTAAATTTCTCCATAGTGAGATCAATAAAGTTTATTTTATCTTATCTTTGGCATACATCTTTTTAAGTTACCATATCCAGCACTTTTTTGCATTTTTGCACTGCCTTTTTGTATAAATTGGGCCCGGATATTTTTTTAATCCGAGCCCACCGACTGCCTAAAGGACGGGAAGCATTATTTGAACACCTTTGTTTGAAGCAGACACTGAACAAAATGTGACTTACACTGCTCACTTCTGTCTGATCCATGGGTCCAAACGAATGTCGGTAATATGGTAATACTTATTCAATATCTGTTGGTGTCCGCAGCATACTCCGAATACATCCTATTCAGATGATTACACATGCTTTGCAACCACAAGCTCCACAAAGCCTCCATAATAACATATCATTTACAAAGCCAGGATTTTAGCTACATACCAAAACAGTATGGCATTGTTTGTTTTCTGCCAGAAGCATATTACCATTGTGTACTGTCGTCAAGTAGATGAAACATTTTTATTTCAGCGCCTACCTGGCTCTCTATTCCCTTTTGTAGATTATGTGTAATTGCATTGGATGATTAGATCTGTTGGTGTATTCTTAACTCCTAATCCGTACATCCTCGATATAAAAAGGCACAGCCCAAGAGAGGCACGCTGGAAGAAACTGTGGAAAATCCCTGGACTTGAGCTAACTTGGTGATGTACTTAAGGCCTAAAGTTGGGCTAATACAGTCTGTACTTACTGTATCACACTAGACGTAATTGCATGTTAAAGAAGAAATGTTTTGCATAATTTTTTGCCGTTCAAACGTGAGACTAATAAAATGTATTGTCATAACATGGTTTAAAATGTGAAATAATTAGTATAATATAAATGAATATAATATAAAGCTTTCATTTTTGTTATAATATTACTGACATGCGATTGTAAAGAACATCATTTCACCTGAGAAGATGCAAAAACTGCTTTATGAGCAAGAGGACAAAAATGCATACATAATAGGAAATGCAAAGTGTGTTGGATGTATGGATGAGTAAAACTAACCTGCGGATGCTTCGTTCCATATTGCAAGCAGCAATATCAAACTTCTGAAGCGTCTCCACATGATGAACACTCCCGTAGCAACTGAAAGTACGACGCTCAGAGACAAAACTTCTGGGAAGATCAACGTTGGGTTTTCACTTCAGATCTTCAGAAAGTATCGTTCAACCTGAAAGGACAGAGCAAGGAGTGGCCATTATTGTTAAGAGAGAGAAAAACACAATCAGATCAGTAAGGTGCTAGAATTGGATGAGCTTTAACTTTTGGACAAACTAAAGTAAGATTAGGGAAGTCTGGGCCTCTCTGCTCAAACTTCAAGGTTTGTGCCCCGGTAACGGATAAAGTGGGAGAAATCAGTTGCTGTCTGTATTTAATAAAAAAATAAATAAAAAATGTATACTTGTATACTTCATGTTGATCCATGATGAGATAGAGTATTAGCATAGACAGGTTAAGTAGAGGTTATTTTAGGTTCCAGAGGTCCATGGATTACAGACACCAGCCTTTGAAGCAGCCGGGATGGAGATGAAGAGGGAGAAGAGGGTCTTTAAGGAGAGTGGACCACTGCATCATGCCACAGGTTGTTACTTTAACAGAGAGATGGGTTTAATTGGGCTGCTCCACATGGGTCTGTGCTAAGAGGATTAGGACAAAACTAACCAGTGTGAGCTCCATATAGGATTTAACTGGAGCATGAACAAATCCAAAACAATGACCATGTGGAGTCAGACATGATCAAAAGCTGTGTCTGTTTTAAGGCTTCTGTAGAGCAGTGATATAATGACGATTTCTGTACACTAAAAATAATATCTATTTTTATTTTATATCATTCCAATCATGATCCATATTCAATGGAAATCTGTGTCTAAAAGTTGACATGCCATTGAATGTGATGTGACTTCGATGATAGTCAAACTGTGGTATGTTATAAGCACATACACTGCCTTTAAAATATTTGCGGTTACATCTATGCCAAATGTGACATGTAAATTTCTCCATTGTGAGATCAATAAAGTGTATCTTATGTTATCTTATCTTGAATATTTTTGAAAGAAAAGCATTGTTTTTCTTTAGGAGGAAAACTACAATACAGAAATATACTGTATTGTCATCCCTCTCACTTCTCAGCACTAAAGTCCTGGGTGCGAATCCCTGTCAGCACAGGCTCTGAGAGGTGTATTCTGGGTGCTGTTGCTGAGCCCCTCATGATATTGCCAAATCAACCTGAAGAAATGTTTTAGCATCCTGTTTCCTTACTAGTTTTAGTATTGTTTAATATCTGATTATACATAGTAAGTAAGTAATGTTTATTTATATACCGCCTTTCACAGACAAGGGTCACAAAGCGGTTTACAATTGTTATTATTTTTTTGGGCACTTGTCCTCTCACTCCAGACAGAGATGGGAGCGGGGTCGCCGAACAGAAGGCGCATGCCAGACCTATTGTACATATTTTTAGTGGTAGGGGAAACCGGAGTACCCGGAGGAAACCTACGCAGACACGGGGAGAACATGCAAACTCCACTCAGAAAGGCCCTGGTCTGGCCGGGATTTGAACCCAGGACCTTCTTGCTGAGAGGCGAGAGTGCTACCCACTCAGCCACCGTGCCGCCCACATAGGTTCATAAAGGTGCGAGCAACCATCACTCCATTGTATAGCATAGTGTGTTAGTTAATAAATTAAAACCATTGATGTGTTAGTGTATATACAATACAGCCCAAGACAATGCACAATCAAACCATTTAAATATGCTGTGTGGATAGTTATACACACACTCTACAAAAACAAAGCTGCAGTAAATGTCACCCAACCCACACACAACAGGCGCAGAGACAGGAGCGGCAGCTCTATATGCCTCAGAGTGGTGGTGCACGTCTCTGTAAAGACAAAGAGGCATTCACTGTCAGGCAGCTGCAGGTTTCGGACGTCCATGACAAATATTACACTTCCAGCTTTAGTGAAGGAGAACCAGTGCCCTGTGTGATTTACGTTGCTGCTTGACCTTGCCCTGCTCAAAGACTAGAGTAAGGTAAACTGTGATGCCATTCCTTCAATGGGCCAAATCAAAAGGAAGACACTGAGTCGGGGAAAGGAGCTGTCTCATACTTTGGTGTTGAATTTCTGTCCTGCAATAAACTAGGTTCAGGCAAAGGTTAAAAAATAAAAGAGTCTGATGGATTTACTATTACTGGGCGGCACGTTGGCTGAGTGGATAGCACTCTCGCCTCTCAGCAAGAAGGTCCTGGGTTCGAATCCCGGTTGGACCAGGGCCTTTCTGAGTGGAGTTTGCATGTTCTCCCCGTGTCTGCGTAGGTTTCCTCCGGGTGCTCCGGTTTCCCCTACCACTAAAAAACCACTATGTAAAATAGGTCTGGCATGTGCCTCCTGTACTGGCACCCCCACTCCCAAAAATCACAATTGTAAACCGCTTTGAGACTCCGATGTGCAGTGAAAAGGTGGTATATAAATAAAGATTACTTACTTACTACTACTTACTACTACTATCACAATAGGAAATATGTTTGTACCCCAATAAAAGCAATTAAGCTGTATTCATTTCAAAAACGCTTTTGCAGACACCATCAGGCCAACCAAATAAACACATTTCACCACACAGATTCATATTAGGCAATGTGGGTTAAGTGCCTTGCCTAAGGGCACATCAACTGTTTACACTTTACAGCCACAGTCATCCCACTGTGGCATCTGGTATTCCCACTTCTCTCCCTTCACAGTAGTAACCAGAGCCGTACTTGCTTAGCTTCTGAGATCAGACAAAATACTTATCAGCAAAATATTTGTGAGGAGGTTTAGATGTAGGAAGTAGTTGTTAAAAATGTAAGGAGCCAGTGAATGTGAGATTGTATTTTCTTGAGCTGTTTAAAATTTGATTCCAAAGAAAAAGATCTATAGAATAAGTCCAGACCACAGGACTAGTGTGGAGGTGAATGTGGTTGTCTGAACTAGACCGAAGCATATCGCATCGCCCACTCTTAAACTGTCACTATGCAACATGAAAACAAACATGTCTGCAGCAGGGATTCAAGAAACTATAAGTCTTTTAACTGCTGACCCTTTATTTCATATCTACAACTTTATGCAAAAGTAATAGACGTCACACTAATCGTGCTTTTTCAATAATCAACACTTATATTAGTAATCGATTAACCGTTAACTGCTCTTTATACATACTGTATATATATCTTCATTACATGTATTTGTTGAAGTGATGTTATTTTAGCACATAAACAAGACAAAAAAAGGTATATCAGAATGTCCTTTGGTGGCTTAACTTCATGTTGATCTTTCTCAAACTGAGATTAAATATTGTATGTGCGCTCTCAAATCAATTAATCAGAAGATGAATTACAATAATCATTGATAATCAAACAAATCATTAGTTACATTAGTAGTTAGGACTTTCCAGATGTCTGTACAATACACAAATCATTATTTTAACATGTTTTTTGCAAATATGACTACATTTTATCCAGTGGTTGTAAAAGTTAGTTGATGAGATTATTGCTAATTATAATGCCATGTATCAAATATAGCAGCAGTGCTCTTTGTCCATAGATTTGATTTGTATTTTACAGTATCAGCAACTGCCATGAAAACCTTCTAACAAAAATACTACGAATGTTGCTCTTGTCTGTCTGCATTCTGAGACAAGAACTGCCCTCCACTAAGAATAGAGAGAACGAATTTGGCTATCTGAATAATCAAGCAGCACCACATTTACACAACACAGAGCCAAGCCTTTAATTAAAATCCTCCCTTTCATTTTGTTTTGGTTTTACAGGCTCTGGTTATGTTGCAGCAACAGTCAGATCACCTCAGCTGACTCCATCTGCCCCTGACCGTCTGCTACTCCTGCTTCACCTCCGCAAAGACTGGAAAAAGCATTAGACTGAGGCCGGACCGAGGGGCAGTGAACGCACCGTGCACCCGAGAGGTCTGTGGGGGAGAGTCTGTGGTCAAGTCGCAGTGAAAGGGTCAGACCATATCTCATCCACACTCTGCTCCACAATCCAGGCCCGGGTGAAAAGTGCACAGATAACACACGAGAGGCAATAAAACAATAAAAGGACAAAAAAAAGAAATGCTATTGAATTTTTTTTTTTTTTACTTGTTTGCACTGAGAGCCAAAGCTATTTCCTAGTTTGTGACTTTTTGTTACTTACAATTACTGACAACAATAAAAATAATTCTGATTCTGATTCTGAAAACAAAATAATACCAGAGAAACCCAATACAAGATTATTTTAGAGGTGAGAGATACATGATAATAAGTAGCCGATTGATTTTTGGAGCCAAGATTAATCAATATCCATATATAGTATATAATCAATCATCAATATAACCAATTATATATAAACCGATTAGAAACAAAATCACATACATTATCATATTATTTATATCAGGGATGTTGAAAATATGTTTATATGACTCAGATCACTCTATGATGACAGCAAAATTAAATTAAAATGTGTTTACAAAGTATTTTTAATCAAACACCAAACGTGTAAGAAGTCATCTCTATGAAGAAGTTCTCCTGGGGAAGCATTTGATCTTAGTTTTGGTTAAATGTGTACAAAATCCCATATTCACTGACCTTCCGGGTTCCAAACAACAAATTGATTAAAAGAAAAATTGTCCAACTATCGATTATCAAATTCTTGTTAAAAACAGCCGTGAATTTGCTGCTTTCCTGAGAGATACAGAGACTGAATGTGGATCAATGAATGTGTGATCAGAACTTCTTCCTGTAGTCAACCACCCTCCTAGAAGGAAACACCCTCCTAGAAGGAAACACTATTTATAGATAGATGGACAGCCCTAAATATATATAAATCAAAATACTTCATAAGGAACTCTTCTTTCAGTATGCATTGTGTTATTGATATATCAATGGCCTCTGTTGACATTTTACAGTCATCAATAATATGTATGGACAACAAGTGAATTCTGCAGATTATGAGATTTCAAATGATACCTATATTGGATAAAGTTTGACAAAATGAGTTGTCCCTCAACACAGAAAAATTAGGTGTCGGGTCAGT